AAAAAGATAGACAAAAAAGTAGATATGAAAAATAATGTATAGTAGATATGAGAATAATATTTGTAAAATTATCTCTAAGTACTTCGAAACTTGTCTGTAGAACTTTCTGCTTGTTTCAACAAAATAATTGATTTCGGAAAAAAAAATTGTTAAAAAAAATTTTTTTTTCAACAATTTTTTTTTGTATATCAAAAATAATTCAGATTTTATTTTAAATTTTGACTAAAGTTCTTATACACTTTTAACAAATAATTTCAACTTTGCAATTCAGTTTATATAAATTTAAATATTAGACAATGTTAAAATATTATAACATTATTATAATCTATTTGAAAACATTCAATATTCCTCGATTTCATTCAGTACGGGAAGTGCCAGCAATTTGCCTTAAGGCACGATGCCATACACCCCACTAGTTCATCGTTAATATCTTTAAAAGTTAGTTGGTATTGGTATTTTGCCTTGAGGCAAATTACTTGAACTTTCCGATATGTGCAAATAATCGACATATTAAACATAATTGAAAACGAACGAGCACGTTAACTCGGAGTATTTTCTAAAAGCAAATTTTCAAAAATCAACAATTTTTATAATTAAACCAGTTTCCGTAGGACTTTAATGGTTTAGTACGTTAAATTAACATTAAGACCGAGTACTCAATCGTTATACCTAGTAAATCATCTAATTTTAATCTTATCAGACGCAAAAAAAAAACTATTAATTTTTTCTATCTTCGATGAATTTTTAACTAGTCGTAAGACCGTTATATTCAGTGAGTTCTATAAGACCATGATATATATCGCCATAAAAAGTTCCATGAAAATTTGCTTAACTGTTTTTTCAACAGTTAATTACAAGAAAACGGATCTGTAGATTTTTACCTAAAGGTTTTGATTGTTTAAAATCGCATCGGTAGTATGAGCTTAAATGTAAACAAGAAGTTTAACACTTGTTTCCAAATTACAAAAAAATGGCTCGGCCAATCGGTGCACAAAACTGAGGAAAGATAACCCACATGAAAATACATCGATTGGCTTTTAAGTTTTTGAAATCGGTTCAGGTGTTTTTGAGCAAACGTCGATGAAAGAATTTTTAATTAAGGTACGGAAAGTTCCAGCAATTTGCCTTGAGGCACGATGCCATGCACCCCACTTGTTCTGTTTTTTTTTTCTTATTACCGGTATATGACATTATTTGAAAACGCACCAAAGAATAATAATTTTATACAATACCACATCAAGAATAGTTTGAATTCTAGGAAATAATACGATCTTCGAATTCAAATATTATTTTTCAAAGCCGTATCGAGCTAATGTTTGCATTGACCGTAAACCGATTCTGGTTCCGTACGACGTTGTTGTTGGTTTGGCTAGGTTTTTGATGAAACTTGGCCCAATGGTAGATTAGATGCCCAAACTAACCGTGGTAATATATTAGAGGCATATAAAAAGCGGTTTAATTATAAAAATTATTTAAAATTTGCATTTGAGCAGCGCGAGGCATGCATAGCTAGCAGTGCTTTTCTTTAACAATAGCAGATTGGCTATCGTCGTGGAATTCTAATTTTTCTGCTAATAAAAATCTATAGATGTTACGGGGGTTACCTTTATAATGTAATATTTAGTAAAAAATATAATATTAATTGTAAACTCGAATGAATTTTAATATTATTTTCACGTGAAATTATAAATATCCAACAATAATAATAAAAAAATGCTTAAGCCAAAAAGCGGGGATTGAGCCCCGGAACAAGATTAGAATTCTACGTCGATAGCAACTCGGCTATCGACAATTGACAAACAAAATCATTGCAAGCTATGCATGCTACGCGCTGATAAAATGTAAATTTTGATTAATTTTTATAATTAAACCGCTTTTCACAGACCTCTAATATTTTACCACATCGGTTTGGCCATCAAATCTACCATTGTGCCAAGTTTCATCAATATCCGAGACGAGCAACGCGCTGGTTCTTCTTATTAGAAACACTTCCATTTAAATTTGAATCTTTGAATTATTGACACAAAATTCAGTAAGAGTATGGGTGTGTATGTATAATACTTTGTATGAATGTTAGGCAATTTTTGACCATACGTCAAATTGGCTGAACCTATTTAAAAAATTTAAAAGCTACTCTATGAAACTTGATAAATACTAGCATTGGTTTTTATTCGACCGGCTAAGCCATTTCTTTAGAATTAGAAAAAAGTGTAAAATTTTTCGATCACATTTTAGACAAAATTTCTGAACCAATTTTAACCCTCCGTCGGGCGCAGCCGATCTGACAGATACAGGGCCAACATTTTAGCATGTTTCTCCATAATTTGATGTCATCGAGATCTCCATATCTCAGTAGTCTCGTTATTTTTTGTCTACTATTTATTCGTCCATATTAGATTGGCATATTTGAACTTGGCATATTTTGCTAGTAGCAATTTTGTTAAAAAAAAACGCACTAAGCCGAATTCTATTTGACGTACAAAATGACAAAAAACACTAAGTTTGTACTGTCCTATTTGTTTATATAGTCTTTTTATAAACATTCCAACAGAATCTGACAATTGTTTTTATATAATTATTTTAATTATTCATTTCAGAAAAAGTAAGGTTTGTGCGTCTAGCATTTTGAGCGCATGTACGGATTTTTATATTTTGCTATATTATAAAAATAATATTGATCTAATATATATTTTGTTTTTATTTACACATAATATACATATTCAGCATTGTAAAAGCGCAAATTAAATAAAAATATATAAAACTATGAGCCTCCTGTCAATATATTTATATTCTGTATCTGTCAGATACACTGCGCCCGATTCTGTACATACTTGGACTGCGCCCGACGGAGGGTTAAAAATTCAAAAACTATTTAAAAATATCATTTGGGAATCGTGCGAACTTTAATGATACTTTTTATAGTGATAAAGTACTTGGTATTGATTAACACACTATAATATTATTATCCCATGAAAAATGGTAAAAATATCTAAATTTGGATTATTCGGCCACGTTTTTCTAAAATACACCTTAGCATGTCTTCGTTTTTAATAAATAATGTGTAATAAAATAAAATTGATAATCTGCAATAATTTCTCACATTATAATCCTTATAATCACTCATAAATTAATAAATCATTTTTTTCTTACTGAATAAATCGATCATCGTTCTTTTTAAACATCGTTCTAAAATAACAATGGACTCTAAATAAATATATAAGAAATCTTAGAAATAGTTTTGAAAGAGAAAGCCAAAGTGATTTGCAGGGGTGCAGCTAAATCTAAATCATTGTGATGCTGCACATAACCTACTTATGCAGACAGTACGAAGCATACGAATTGAAGCTTGACCTTGCGCTTTTAGCAGAGCAGCTATAGAAGCACCTAACTGGTCAACTATGGCAAACGGACACAACCTCAAAAGCCCTTTCAGAGCACAATTACCAATGACAGTGTTGGCTACGTATCAGTAACAATGGGCATCCGCTTCTACAGCTGCTATGCTCCGCCTATCCTCTCTATTCCGGAGTTTACTGTCTTTCTGTGCAATGATTTTTTTTAATATATATAGACATATGGAATGAATATGATTTAATAGAATAGGAGTCGATGTTTTAGCTGCTTTCATTGATGTATTTGTGAAGTTGTTGATACCGATATTCAAATTATTCTCACATTTTAGTGGAATATTACAGTTGATTTGTTTTCGATGTGTTCTTGGAAAAGATAATAATCGGTAAATTTATTTGTAAGCAAACTTATAACTTAGGTTGGACTATGTGTGGAGTATTTACTAATTATTGGTGAATGATCAGAACTGAAATCTAAGCTTGAATTTATTTCAACACACTCGTTTTTAATAGTTTTAGCTACGAAAAAGTCAAGTCGAAATCTGAGAGTATTATTATTTATTGTATTATACGATTGACAACCTCTAAGTGTTATTAGTCTAGATTCCAAAAATGTGTGCTTTGCGTTATGATCACCTTACGCAATAAACAAATTACCTACCATGGCAAAAAAGTTGTAAACTGATTTTCAGTAATTAAGTGCCTTGGCAAAATATAGAGTCATTAGATCAGTTGAATCGGTTGTCGATTGTATGTAACTAATATAAAAAGGTTTTATTTGACTTGATGAGAATGACTTGATGGTGAATGTGTTATAGTTCAGGAAACAAATTTTGTGATTTGTCTCGGTGAAATGGGTCTCGTTTATACATAAAAAATGCTTGAGTTCATGAGCATGATTGCTCAAGCCGTTCGAGTTTCATGTGCAAATTCTTAGTTGCATAGAGATGATTATTTTTATTAGTTAAAATTGTTGTTAGTAAATTAAGCATTATATTATGCTCGTTTGTTCTGTCATAGTTTTGAGTTCTGTTAGGTCATTAGATTTGTTGTTATTATTGAGCGCATTTAAAGCATCTGCGGGGCGGAGGATAATAATTTCTGGTATGGCCAGGCTTTTCTCAATTTCTCTAGAGAACCTCTTAGCTTCCATTTGCACTATAGTTTTATATTAAAAATCAATTTTATAAATATCTTTATAATTAGGTCGTTGTTCAAACTCATCATATTCAGAGGGAATGTGGAGATTCTACTTTTCATGTTGTGAATACAAACAACTTTGTGATTTAACTGTTGGATTTTATTTTTGATCATAACTGTATCCGTACTGAAATGTAGGCTTTTAACTACTAATTTGAACGTTCTTTTACATTTCTCCTGAAAAGAATGCATTTGAGTATCTCTCTCTTTTAGAATTTTGAGAATTTTGTTGTAAAGTTTAGCATTATAAAGATCAACGCCAACTTTAGTTTTGTCAATAACTTTTATATGATGAAAATTTTTTGTTTCACATACACGTATAAAAATTGGCGGTGGTCTGTTAACTGGGCTGCATTTATCACTTGAGTATATAATTTGTTTTTTCTATATATATATATATATATATATATATATATATATATATATAAATTTAATATATTTTTTCCGCAGGATCCATATATTCCAAAACAGAAACCAGTTGATCTAAAGAAAATTTTTACACCCGCGACGGACGGCGAGGTAATTAAACCCAGCAGTAATAGTAAGTATCATTGCAGATGCATATTTACTTGTAGTTAATAAACCAACTAATAAATGCCAACTACTAAAAAATCTTAAAACATTTCTATAACAAGTAAAATCATTTAATTCACAATTCATTATAAAAAGTAATATTTATCAGTCCATTTATGAATGTGGGAGGTTACCTCGAGCAGCCGTACTGTTTGGGTCAGAGCTTCAACAAAATCAAATAATATTTATTCAATCATAACAAGAATAGTGAGCTGTGTGATATCAAAACATATTTGAACCATCAAAAATTACACAATTGTGAGGGGCAACTGAAAAGTGCAGTGTAAATATACATTGTAATTTCAGTGTAACTAAATAATTATGCAGAACAACAAAGAAAATAGTCCAATTATGAAAGTTCGCAAACAAATAGTACATACGTACAAAACCAATTAATTTATAAATATAAAAACATTAATCACTGACCCAAAACTGTTAATCACATTCAAACAGAACAAGCTATTCAAGCATCAGGCAGATAATTGAATCCAATAAACATCGCAAAACACGGACAGGTCACATTAAAAACGTCGCATTATAAAAACATAAAACATAAAACCAGTTCAATGTTCTCGCAACAGGTAAATTGGCAACCCAAGCCATTAAAACACTATAAAGGTACCAAGACCATCAAACTCCCAAGCTGATAACATGATTACGGTTCAAAGGCGACCACCGATTTGTGTATACAACGTCGACAATTTCGCTGACATGACAAGAGATATCAACAAAATAATAAATTGGGATCAGTACACCACAAAATTTACGCATGACAATATGGTGAAAATAAGCATCGTGATTAAACAATATGGTGGAATAAAAACCAAAACAATATAAATTACTCATACAATTTTTAAATCAAAACGTGTAGTGTATCACATTTACCAAATTAAACAATGAATGGTTTACAAAATAAAAAATATTCACCACACAACCGATACTGACAAAATTGAAACAGCGCTAGAAAATCAAAACTACAAAGTAATTCAAATTTGTAGCTGTTTTAGTATGTTGTTTCCTCATTTATACTTTTTTTAATTTTTTTTGTTTCACAATTCTATTGTCAATATTTTGCAATACAACCTAATTACACATTAAACATGTCTCTTGTAGATTCTGAGCCATCGCAAAATATCACCATAATTTATAAATTTAACTAGTTTTTAAATCAAATCGTAACACAGGAATCCCCCAGAGAAAAATTTGTTATTATACAATAAACAAGATACCAATTATATGGGCACAAATGCTACTGCAACAGACCATTTATCTGCATGCTAAGGCCCACTACCGGCAAACTTTAAAGGATGTACTAGCTTCCGCACTGTGTCTTATACCTTACATAATAAATTAGTGCCACACTATTACAAAGCAGTTTACAACGTTTTCAAGAAAGCAACACAATACCACGTTCAAATCAAACTAAAGTCTCAAATCACATGAGCAATTCCGATATTTTCATAAATCAAAACAGCGGCGGACACAATGCAACAGAAATATAATCAGCATTGCACGAGTTTTTAAGTACAATCAAAGATATATTCAAACAACTTATGGAACAAAACAATATGATTCTCAATATGCTTACCTTACTAGTTAAAATATTATTAACCTTGTTGAATGGAATGCCAATGACATTCTAAACCATCAAAATTAATTAAAAATATTTTTACTTCTATAAATGATTGGTATTCTCTTAATAAGTGAAACATATTTGACCGAATCTTTATTCTTCAGAATTCATTTTATAATTATAATTCTGATTACATGGTCGGGGCGCGAATGCGGAAGAGCATATATGTCACGGTCCGTATATAATAAATACAGAATAGATCGTCCAAACATGTTTGAGAGTCGATATCAGCGTATCATGAGATAGTAAGTATTAGAGTAGCATGAGAGAGTCAGTATCAGAATAGCAATAGAGAGTAGCATCAGAGAGTGTTACAGAGTAACAAGTTGTAGCTTGGCAGTAGTCTTATGATAGAAACAAGCAGAGATTCCGTCCGTCTGAAAACTGGTAATAAAAGGAAGAATAAACTGTAAAGTCACTCAAGTGGAACTCTCATTTAATTAGTGTAAGTCGAAAAACTGACGGATCCGAAGAAACATTACTTTAAAAAGCAATTAAAATTAACATCTAAAGCTCGGCCCAAGGCACCCGGTTGGATATGAGTTTAAGCATTATAACCGATTGGGACAATGGATCTACCAGTGGTCCCTTAATTGATCTATTAATAATATACGAGACAGACAATCAGATCAGGAATGTGAATTGACCGTTCTCTAGAGCAGTATCAGAACACACCCCTATACCACCACCACAATTAATTTTAATATATGATATTATATTTACATACTGATAAAATCTTTGATCAAACACTACGAACTACCAAGATTTCAACAAAACAAAACACAATGTTGCATTTCGTTATCCCCCATGGTATAATCATAATTGTGAAGATTTCTTTAGAACCTTAGGAACTAACTAAATTCAACGTGGGAGAAGACCTCAATTCGAAAAACACGCTCTGAGGATCGAGACTAACCATATAAAAAAAGTAAAAAATTAGCTGCACCAATACAAAAAAATAATTATTTGTTTATGTCACCCTGCTGCTAACCCTTTTTATAACAAGTGGTATTTTGCCTAACTACATGACAAATAAAAAATAACTTAGACTTCTCCTCAAAAATCTTAACACAGTGTTCACGTATATTAAAAAAGCAAGTAAACAACAATCTTGCGTTAAGAACTGAAGTTGATTCCAATATAAATCTTAAAATAAGATTAAAAACCGCAGAGGACATTGACATATTCTATTAGAAATAAAACGTCTAGTAAAAGAAAAACGTTAAGCTAGAAAAAAATGGTAACCGACGCAAAATCCTAAGAACACAACCATCTATAATAACTTTAAATTAATTACTAATTTTTATTTTCCTTAAAAAGAAACTAAAAAAACTAAGGGACAATGAGATTACGCACTATATTACAAACTTAAGCAGATACGACAAAACGATATGGATACCCATGTAGTCTACAAGACATCAAACATTCTATAATCCACCTATAAGAAAGAAGCGCAAGCAAGTGAACAAACAGCAACAAAGAGAAAGCTGCATTGTTCGCGAGCTATTTAAAAACTGTTTTTTCTCCTGCTGGTAATCAACCTAACCCACCAGTTTGGTTTCAGACCACAATACTCAACAATCACCAAGGTCATAGGGTCATGAACAAATTTCAAAATAAAAAGTATTGCTCTGCCATATTTATCGATATCGAAAAAACATTCGACAACGTTGGTCACCACGGTTTGATCTACAAAATGAACAAATGTCTACCATATAAACTATCATCTTTATTCCACCATTTCACAAAGCAACTGTGATGGCTTCGTTTCACCTAGTTTGATGTTGTTTAATAATTTGTTCATCTGTTTAGATCTAGGTTCGGACACTCCATCTAGAATAATTATTTTAAGGCATTATACTTATTTTTAGCAGGTTGCTTTCGTAATACGTCTGCTATTAGGTACAAAGTCTTTCCGTCTAGAGCTCGTAGCACCACCGTGTATTTCGTATCGTTACTCCGTATTCTGTCGTCATGCAATTTGGCCTTAATTAGAAGAAACCATGTTTCAGGGGAATCCTCCATAAACGGAGGAATCTTTGACTTCCCTACGCTGTATACATGATCGGCTTTGTAGTCCTCATTATTTTCACAATTGGGTGCATGTGGCGTATAAATCACTGCTTGATTGTCCAGATCGATGAGCGATCTGTTCAATTCTTGCACTTTCGTTGGTGTAGATGTTAAAGACATTATAATATGTATATAACTCAAATTTAAGATTTCAGCATGTGTTCCTTTCTTAGTCGAAGTCACCAATTTTATAAATAATTGCTCTAAATATAATTTAATATTAATAATCTAAACACCGTTCAACATGTATAAGTATTTAATTTTACTGTAATATTCAAAGTATACGCTCGAGGTATGTTTTAAATTTTATTTTAGTCTTGATTCTTTCAGAGAACGGATAACAAAAGAGGGTGAGATTGCATAGTTAACATCCGCCGTGTTCACGCCAAAATCAAAGCATGCCATATATTGATATAAAAAAACAAAAGATATCAATTCAAAAAATAAAACAAAATTAAATCAATTACAACAATATAATTAAACTAAGGAAATATTGTAAATACAAATTCAATGTGTAGTTTTTTAAAATAAATACATAATATAACAATTAAAGTGTTTTACAAATCATTAGTCCTTCAAAAAATCAATCAAACCAAACAAACACCTCGAGCACGGAAGTGTTGCATCATTAGACGTCGCCTACTTGACACTTGACAGTCTTCACAGGTGAAGTGTCCATAATGTAGGTACTAGTGTTAATAGATAAACAAGTATAAATAGATGGCAAACCGGACCGCTTTTCGATTATTTTAAATTTAATTTACCGCTCCTGCTATAGAGGCGCGACGAGTGTAGCATGAAAATTTACCCCTAGGTTCAATTCTAGATAAGTCCAAATCCTTAGGTTTAATTCTAAGATAAATTAATTTATCTTATAAATATATAAATTTATATATAATATTGTTACAATAAATCTGAATTTTCAATATGTGTAATGATAACAAAACATACTCATAAAAATATATTTTCATATATATTAAAAACATTTTTAAAAATGAAATAAAATTAATATATAAGCAATAATCAAATATAAATAATAAAATATATCAATAAAACGTATTTACATAATTTAAATAAAATACAATTATTAATAAATAGACAAGATTTTCTAACATTCGCAGAAAAATATACGGGTTTTTTCTGCCTCAGTCGAGTTTTATTGGCCTTGAGACATTTCTTGTACTTTTCGAGAGCTACTTTTTTATGGGGTCCTGTTCATTTTCATTCATATATTTTCCTGAGAGACATCGTTTCACAGTATA